CCAACTACGTTAAATGTTCATAGTTTAATTGCTATATTTGAGACTTTAATCCGTGATTGTTATTGTCTCATTTCATTAGTAGTAAACTAGGGGTCGTGCATCTCTAGGGTAGGGTGAACATAAGTTAAACGGTCGAGTTTTTGCGACCGCTGCTTAGACTAATCTATTTTCCTAATAATTATTGCTGCTAGTGTATTAAATCTAGAGAGCTTATTCTAGGTTGTCCACTAGTTAGATTTAGTCGAAGAGCTTATTTCGATTAAATATTCGGTAAGGAAAAATTCGGTTAACAGAGCTTGTTGGTAGCTAGGGTTGGTAATTCATTAGCAATCTAGAGAAAGCGTTGAAATTAATTAACGGTAGATTTAGATTGGGTGATAACTGAACCGAAAACTGGACTTCTCTTATTTTCATTAGCAATCCCCCCATCTTTTATTACTTTTCTAGTTTAATTCAATTAATACGAGATTGTCACAATTTAATTCCTACTCCTCGTGGGATCGACCCTTAGTCGCCACTACTACTAGTTAGTAGAGGTTAGTTGAGGAAAACATTTATAAATCTAAGTGGGATCGACCCTTACTCGCCACTACTACTAGTTAGTAGAGGTTAGTTGAGGAAAACATTTATAAATCTAAATTTGTCGCGTCGCGACGCGCGGTCACTATGATTTTTCTGGCCCATTTAGGGTCTTGACTATTTACAGGTTCGGGATCAATCCTTAATTCCCCACCCTTTCGGGGTGTTTAAACCTCCCCAACAAAAACCGACAACCGCTACCTGGACACAACTGGAGAAGGAAGCTGCCCGCCGGAGGATCTCCGCTTCCCAACACCAGGGAGAGGATGGGGATAGTGGAGTCGCAAGGAGCCGCCCACAGCCCGGCCACCACAAGACAAAACCAGAGCCCATAAAGATGAAACTCGCCGCCAATCTGGAACCCTTCTACAACCAGTCATGGCCAACTAAAAAAGTCGATGCACCATGCCGGAGAAGGGAAGAGGACCTGTCAGGAGCTCGTCGAGGTGCAGATGCAGGAAGAGTAGTGGGGTGCAGAACACTTGTCGGCGGAGAGGCACAGGGAAGCGGCGCAAGAAAGGGTTTGAGATGAATTGGAAAAAAAAAATCGGAGGAGAGAGATGATTGGTATAATGTAAGAAAACATAAAGAAAAATGTAAGATCAATTTGTAATTTATATGAAGGTTTGAGATGAATTGGAAAAAAAAAAAATCGGAGGAGAGTGATGATTGGTATAATGTAAGAAAACATACAAAAAAAAAATTGTAAGATCAAATTTGTAATTTATATGAGTTGTACGGTCAACACGATACCTTAATGGCTAAGATATGAAATTTGGCCATTGCAAGAAGGGTAATTGTGTCATTGACTAATGCTGCACCACTACCGCGCCTTGGAAACGCAAGTTTTTTTCATCGCGTAAAACATATTCTCCCTCTTTTTCGATTTATCCGTCTTTGAAAGCCTTTAGATCACACTCCCTTTTCCCCTTCAAATTCACACCTAGAAGATCGAATAACAGTAATGGGGCTGCTCTCCAACAGGTACAATTCATTGTTTTTGCTAATCTTTATGCAAATATCTTTGTTATTGTATTGAATTGTTCTTTCCTTGTTTTTTTCGCTATTTTTTGGGCTGATTTTGCTGTGCGTGTGTGTTTATGTGTTTGGATTTTTTGAAATAACGCACAGAATCGATAGGAGCATCCTCAAAGCAGGGGATCACATATACTCATGGCGCACGGCGTATGTGTATGCTCATCACGGTTAGTTTTGTTTGAATTAATAGATTCTGTGTGCAGGACATGTGGATCCAGTGATTGGGATAATGGTATTTGATAAATTCTGCTGATATAATTTATGCTAGAGTTTAATTTATCGTGTTAAAAGTTGTCTGATGTTTCATTTGGATTGCGAAAAAGATTCATGATGTTGGTGGTAAACCTAGGAGAAGCTGGAAATGTAGTGGGTACAAATCCCATCATTCTTTATAAACTTTTGGGAATTGCCTAGAATTGTGTGAAAGAAAGTGTGTTGTTGTTTAAGAAAGTTTAATAGGATTTATGTTTTGCTTAATTCGGTTTCTTGGGGATCTGTTTCTACTATTTCCGATCTCACAGCATCAATGCCACAGTAGATTTTTATGGGTTTTATTTGGGATGAGTTGAATGCGGAGTCGATGATCTAAAATGAGTGAATGGTGTTCTCGTGAAGGTTATTTTGTTTGAATAAATTGTTGAATGTATCCAGACAACAAAGATTCCACGCCTCTATGTTATGTTTAGTGGAAAATTTTAACTAATGCGTTTTCTTCTATTGCCTTTGAAAGTTCAACTATGTTAACAATGACCTTGATAGTTCTACATGCATCTTGGTTTTCAACTTATGGAACAGAGTAACTTACGATTTTTTATCTATGTCCTATTGCTGTCGTATATATAATTGTTTTCAGCTGGTACCTTGTACATTTTACTGCTTTTGAAGTATCATTAACTTGTTCACCATCATTATGTGAAGGGAGTTTGAGATCTATTATTGCATCATCTTTCCTCAAGCAAATGTTATTGACGTCATTTAGTCGACTGTGTTTTGTTTCTCCAACTAGTATCATTGAAGTGCATTAACAATAAAACTGTATGTATACACCTCATGTGCCACTTGCAAATTACTTGGTAGCTAACGAGATCTCGTCTTCCTTCAATGAGCAAGCTTTTAAGACGTTGATGTAGTCTTCCTTCCATGGGAACGTTTTTAGAGGGTGATATATGGATTCAACTAGTTTTTATTTGGTTTGTTTTTTAACTATAGTTAATTTTGAAAAAAAATGTGGTATAGTTAGTTTTTAGTGGATATATTAAAATAATATTTAAATAAAATAATTAAAGTTGATTTGATGTAAAGTAGGATAAAAATGATTGGAAGTGATGGTCAGTTAAAATTATGTGAGTAGATGAATAGTGAATTAAAGTTGATGTGATGTGTAAGAATGATTGGTTGATATTATTTAATTATATTGATAATATGAGAAATAGTGTGGTTGAGTTAAATTTGAGTTCTGATTGAATTTTTTACTGTAGAAACCATGAACAATTGCCCCATTGATATCAAAACTTAAAATTCATTGTTTTTACACTTACATGTTATAAACAAATATTTCATAACATCCTAGTAATTAACTGGAACACTTCTAAATCATAAATATCACTACTTTCTCATCCAGATCAAAAACTTCCTACAATCTATCTTCATACTCAGCATAGTTTTGTTACTATTACATAACACAAGTCTATGATTTTTATCATTCTTCCTGCTAAAACATTTTTCTTTTCTCGGCTTCATCTCTGCACGAGAATAGGCATATACGTCGGAGACGACAAAGTCATACACTTCACAAGGCGCGGCCAGGAAGTCGGTACGGGCACCGTACTCGACCTCCTCCTCGTCAGTTCGGGCCCTGCCAGGGCCCGAACCCCATGCCCCACCTGCTCCCCTCCAGAGGACGACGGGCACGGGGTCGTCATCTCGTGCCTCGACTGCTTCTTAGCTGGCGGCATTCTATACCGATTCGAATACGCCGTGAGCCCAGCCCTCTTCCTGGCCAAGGCCCGCGGGGGAACCTGCACCCTAGCCATCTCAGACGACGACGAGACCGTGGCCCACCGGGCCCGATACCTCCTGGACAACGGGTTCGGGTGCTACAACGTGTTCAAGAACAACTGTGAGGACTTTGCCATATACTGTAAAACGGGCCTCCTGGTGCTGGACCAGAGCACGATGGGCCAGAGTGGGCAGGCAGTGTCCATTATAGGTGGGCCACTCGCGGCAGTTTTGTCCACGCCCTTGCGGCTCGTGACGACTAATGTGTACGGAATGGTGGTTACGGGTGTTGGGGTGTACTGCGCGAGCCGGTATGCGGCGGATATAGGGATGAGGAGGGATGTGGTGAAGGTGCCTGTTGAGGAACTCACGACGAGGGTTGGGACGGGCATGCTTCAGGTCCTGGAGCCGGCTCTTATGGGCCCGGCTAGTTAGGATGTGTGTGTGTTTGTTTGATATGATAATATGTGGAGGGGGAAATATACTGATAATATGGATTGCCAGTGTGTGAGTGTGTGTTCTGTAATGTACTGAAATTTGTTAGGCTGTCATGGGCCTTTTTATGATGATTGTGTGTGTGAGTGGTTTGGTGTGGGATGCTGAATGTATTTGTGTATTCAATTTGATTAATGATTGAACTGGGTCAATATGGGCTTCCTCGGGCTCTCCTCCTTCAACACATTCAGGTCAAAACTCAAAAGAGTACGTACAAGTTGTTATACGCCGAGCGTGAACTGATTATTACAAGGCCGGATAGCAATAAGGCTGTGGCTATACTATACGCCTAGGGCACGTTTGTTAGCCCGGATTAGATAGGATTGTACCTCCAATCCACCATTTATCTTGCGTTTGTTTTTCAAGACTCCGGCCCGCAAGATAGTATAAAGCCCGCGATGCACAGTGTAATTATCGTGGGAAACAACGATTATTTGATCTTGCGTAAGGGGTAGGATATTTTCTGTCGGTACAGTATTAACTATTTGAATTTACTACCTTGTCCCTAAAAGTAAATAATGTTGACCATCTTCACCTTGGTCAATGCAAAAATTACTTATTCTGCCACAACTTCACTAATGAAAATTATTCACGCCATGTTTATTTTTTTCTTATTTTATTTTATTATATTATACTAGTGGAGCGTCTACAGTGCTGAGGAGTCCGAGGAGTCCGACGCGTGGAGCGTCTACAGTGCTACCTGCTCCGGCGAGCCCGCTGGAAGCTCAAACGAGAACAGGCTGAGGCTGGCGGAAGAGTGGCTGAGGGCGGCCGTCTCGACGGTGGTGTCGCTGCTCATCAAGCTCTTGCCGGAGTACAATCCCTCTGACCCCGGGTTCCTATGTGAATCGTCTATCTTGTGCTTGATTTCATGTACCGATCAGAAATAAACCTTTGAAACCACCAGATTTCGGCAGATTTCAGCGGCGATTAATTGATTTTGTGGCCTCAATTGAACGAAAAGTGGGGAATTTTTTTCAGCTGGAATTTGAAAATAAATCTCCTCAAAGGTTGGAGCTAAGAAGTGGACATTAATAAATGGAGCTTTTTCAGAGTGTGCAGAAATGGTTGAGAGAGATACAAGGGAGCTTTGCTTATCTTCTTGTGTGTATTAATGGCAATTTACTGTTACAGTAGAGAGAGAAGAGCTTTTCGTATCTTCATTTGTTACACATACCATTTGTTAAATATATGGACAAATTTGTAAATGTCCATCTTATCCTATTCACAATCTAGGAAAACAAATTATTATGATAATCTTATCTTGAGTAAATTAAACATAACAAACATAAGTTTAAATAAATCTCTACACCTCAATCTTGGAACCCTAGATAAAAATTATCTAATCCGGTCTCCTTTAACAAACATGCTCATGGTAAATTGGTTTGAGCACGAAGTTTAATTCTCGATACATGTGTTTGAAAATTGGCTGAGGTTCAAACAATTTCATCTAATCAAACAATTTTATTTGTGTTATGAAATATCTCAATTAATCCCAATAACCTTATTTATTATATGTGGTGTGAATGACTATTTTACCTTTGATGTAATTGTATTATTACGATTATGTCATTAGAAGTTTTTCTATAACTAAAAGTTTCAGTTATAATAAAAATCATGCCAAGAGAATATATTCTCACTCTTTAGTTTTAAAACACGTTATCCGCACGAGTCACTGCTCTGTAAGCGAATCACTGTTCTATAAGCTGAATTCGTAATAAGACGAGGAAAGTATTCTCTACAACTGTGACACAATTTTCGAGTCACTGCTCTGTAAGCGAATCATTGCTCTATAAGCTGAATTCGTAATAAGACGAGGAAAGTATTCTCTACAACAATGTCACAATTTTCTGTATTATAAATCGAATTATGACAAATAATTTTCTTCAACAACTTTTATTTTTGGTTGACTTGGTCATTTTATTGATATATTTATGTGAAGCAACAATGCTCCAACCGTCCAAATTCTCCAACCCTTACACCTCCGCTTCGAACAAGACCAAAGAGAAAAGGAAAGAAAATGAAATGATGGTAAAGTGAAAGTGAAAAAAATAGCATTGCAAGATATGGTATATTGTTTATTTGTTTTATTATCTTCTCCTTACATATTAGTGCAGAACCCGTGCAATGCATGAGGCGGACAATTTTAAAGCAATTTATCTTGCTTTGTTATTATATTCGTGAATAAAAAAAATCAAATAAATAGAATAAAAAAACTGTTACATATCATTAAAAACTTCCTTGTATACAATATTTTTTGTCTGCCTTGTAGGCACACCATCCCTGCAAACTAATTGTAGCGCCCCTTTTCTTAAATAAAAGTATACACGTTTTGCATTCATTTATAGCTCGACTAGTTGTTTTAATCTTGGTTTTAATTCTAAATTTTTTTTAATCTAAAATAAAAATTAGGTAGATGTCCTCATCTATTTAATTTTTCTAAAGTTATTAATCTATTGATTGTTCCTAATTAATTGTGCCTAAATAATCCTAAGAACCCAAAATAATCCTAAGAACCCAAAATAATCCTAAGTCTAAAATTTATGCCTAAGTCATAAAAAATGTCCTAAGTGAACTAATTTACGTGCCTAAGTAAGATAAAGGAGCTATTGTTGCTTAAGTAAGAGCATGATTGGATATAAAAAAGTTTTTGTTTTGATTGAATTTTTGATTTGGTTGGCTAAATTTGAAAAAGTTGGTATGATTAGTTGTTAGTGAGTATATTAAAATAATATTTAAAATAAAATGATTAAAATTAAATTGATGTAAAATGTAGGAGAGAGAAGATGTGATGTGATGGTTTAAAATTATATGAGTTGATGAATAGTGAATTAAAGTTGATGTTTTGTGTAAGAATGATTGATTGATATTATTTAATTATATTGATAATATTGATGATAGTGGGGTTGAGTTAAAGTTGAGTTAAAAAAAGTGGTTGAGTTAAAAATGATTGAATTTTTTGAGTTGGATTTATATCCAATCATGCTCTCGGCAAAATAAAAAAAACAGAAAGAAAAATCCAAACATCCTTTAGCCTTGAACTCGGCTCTCCCATGAAAGCCAAGACACAGTCTGTGCACCACCGTAATTGCCCTAGAATCTCGGTAGCAGTTCCTCCACGAGCTCCCAGCAGTAACCCCCTCAAAACACCTCAGCTGCCAGCCCTCAAACCTAGACCAAGTCCCCCAACAACTTCTCTCTTTCTCGGACTCTGCCTCTCTCATTCCAGCAGCCCTAATCTCCCCTACTTAAACCAACAATAGCCCTCAGCCGCCATCGTCATTTTCCCCCTGCAAAGTTCATAGCAAATATTTCAAAATACTCCTAAGTCTCAAGCACATCTCAGCCGAGCAGCGCCCATTTTTGGTGAGACTGAGAGAAGCCGAGAGTCACCAAGAGCAGGAGAAATGAGAGGCTTGTTCACGAAGCTAATAATTTTCTATAAATAGATAGATTTGGGGAAAAGGAACACTTTAAGCCTTAGGATGTGTTTGTAAAAGAAATAATTTGAGTGAATTAACTCAAAGTGAGTTTTTTTAGTCAATTTAGAAAAAGTAGTATAGTTAGTCGTTAGTGAAATTTTTAGTTTATATTAAAATAATATTTAAAATAAAATAATTATAATTAGTTTGATGTAAAAGTATGAGAGAGATGATATGAAGTGATTGTTAGTTAAATTTATGTGAGTGGATGAATAGTGAATCTATATCTATATAATAAGAATTCTTTCTTCTTCTTCTTCGTGTTCTTCTTCTTCTTTGTCTTCTTCTTCGTCCCTACATTCCAGGAAATTGTGCACCACAAATAGGAACTAATAAAGAGACCCGCGATTTTGTAGAAAGACATCACGATCCCTTGTGGAAAAAAAAGAATTTGCTGAGACGGAACAAAAGATATCAAATTTCTACCAAGATAACTGGATGTTCCAACCAATAAGCTCTTCTTATGGTGTATCATCACCTTCAATATGAATGGCAGAAAGGATTGAGCTCAATTGCATTGACCCTGGTCGTCAAGACCTCTTTTTCTTTTGTTCCAGTCCCAGTAGAAGAAGATCAAGGAAGAAGGTGATAAGCCTAATTCTACGTAGGGAGGTACTTATGGCAGAACGGGCCGATCTGGTATTTCACAATAAAGTGATAGACGGAACTGCCATGAAAGGAGCCTATAACGCTTTCTAACGAAAGTGAGTTCGGGGAGTGGAATAAAAACCTTCATTCATGTAAGTCCCAACTCTGATGTCAGCGGGCGAGAGGGAAGAGTTTGTAAGGCATCCGCCGGGGAATAATTGTTAGCACCTGGGAAAAGATCTTCTAGAGCTCGGATAGAACCGTCAAGCGATCAAGACACCAGTCTGCCCTCTAATAGAGGGTGCTACGGAATAAATTAGGCACTGAACTTATTTGAATTAGATCTTCATCTTCATTCCTTTCACCGGAGGTAGCACTACTCAAAGAGGGAGACTCTGTTCAAAGCGGTATGGTTCTTGTTTTTTGATGATCTAGATGTGTGAGCAGTACGAGCTGAAAGGCTCCCATACTGTTTGGAGGGCAGGGGGCATAGATGCCAAACAAACCTGACCCGAAGCGAAGCGCAGTGAAGTCAGAAGTAGGCGGGGATGAGGGTAGATGTAATTTAGAAGAGCCGAAGATGACAGCGCCTCCGGTGGGTCCAAGTTTTCGGGACATGCTCAACCGGAACCGTCCACATGTTGAGTGGGTGTCGGATGATGAAACCGAGAGTGATATGGGTGTACTAAAAATAATAGTAAAAAATTTTAGAAGCATTTTTTTTTTTTTTTAATTTTTTTTAAATATATGCATTAATTGCTTCTATATACACGTTTTGAAATAAAATCAAATCAGATATGATAAAAAAATATTATTTCATTAAATAATTTTATTAATATCTGCAATAATTTCATTGATATCCATTATAATAAATTAAAAAATTGATTTTCCGTAATTCTTGTTGATAATATTTTGGTCAAGATAAATAGTACAATATATTTTAAGTTCTAACAATAATTTTATTTTTTTTTTTCAAAAATATTCACTTTTTATCCAAAAATATTTATAGAAAATNTCACGAAAAATAAAAAGAATCATGGGAGTTTATTATAAAATATTAGAAATGCAGATGGTTGTTCCTTTTTTATAAGCTTATTTGGTAAAAAATAAAAAATAAAAAATTCTACATATATCATCGTGGACTATTCAATTAATGCATTTTTTTTTAGATTTTTCGCCCAATTTTTTAGTTAATTATAGTGATAAATCGTTGCAGTTTTAGATTTTTTTTTCTCCGAAACGATAGATGTACTATATTAATAAAACCGCACAAAGTGCGAAAAGAAAACAGTCAATGTCTGAATAGTACAACCAGAGACTATAAAACTGGGAGGCAGATCCGAAGATCGCCTAGAACCGTCTAGCAACACTAGAATGACAAACTCGCAACTACACTAACAACTAACAAAACTAACACAACTAAAAAAGACCCCAACAGAGTAATACCCGAGTGTCTGATCCCAACAGGATAATAAGGTGCCACTCGGGTTCACAGAAGTCAACGGCCCAGACCAAAACACAATCCTAAAATACAGAAATAACATAAACACAGACCAAACAGAACTAGAACAAAAACAAAAAGGAGGACACAGCCTCCCCCGCCAGATACACCTAGATTTACGGCAGACAAACCAACTCTAAAGACAGCTCCAGAGCATGGAAACGATCGCCCACCACTGCAGAAGGCCTAGCAAGACGGGTACCCGCACCCCAGTACCAACCAAAGAGCTGGCCCGCATTCCAATCACGTGAATAAGCAAACACGGCTCGGCTTCACCGAGTTAGCCCTCCTGAAACAACAACCACACAACCCAGCCCGA